AGTCCAATTTTGTTGGATCTGCTGTCCAAACGAATGCAACATTGTTGGGCTACTCTTCATTGACCGCGAAACAAAAGAAATGTTGGGACTTGTTGGCTCGAACGTTTGACGAGTTTTAAACTTCACCCAACAACATCCAACAATGTCCAACAAGTCCCAACAACACGCAACATGGTGTTCAAACGCTCCCAATCTGTTGGGCCCAACAATTCAATGTTGGATGTTGTTGGCCAACAATGTTGCGCTCGTTTGCTCGGGCCTTAATGATTGTGGAGTCAATTACGGAAAAAATACCAGATAGCTCCACAAACAAATCATAAAGTGGAAATTAATTTAGTAGAACTATTTTTAAAATGGAAATAAGCTTGATTTTCCATGCCCGACTCTCCTTCTCCTTCTCCTTCTCCTTGCCCTCCTCCATCTCCTTCTTCTTTTTCTTTCCTTTCCTTTTCCTTTCTTCCCTTCCTTCCTAGCCTCTTCCTTCTTTTATTACCTATAATTTGGTCTTTGGAAAAACAATTTCAGACAAAGTCCAAACGATTTTTGAATAGTTTTTCTCTGTGTCTATTTATTCAAGCAATCCAGTCTATCCAAAGAGTCAATGTTATCACACATAAATCACAGATATCTCATTGAATGCTTGATTCTGTCTAGTGCACCGGTGTCTTGAAGGTCTTCGAAAATGACATCGTCGCCTATTCATACATATATAACGTGTGGTTTCCATCGACAACAGGAAGTCAATTCCTTCGAGACAATAATAGTACAAAGGTAACATACCATAGTTGTTCAGTTAAGCGTGGGGAGATTATTTATATTCACAATGACATTAATTACCATATTGTTCGTAAACATCTTAAGTCACATGAGCTAGTGCTTTTGTAGCGTGCTCATCTGCCATACACTCGCTCATCCTTCAGTGGTCAACTTCATCTTCGAAAACCTTTGCATCCATGCTCTATTTTCTTTACTGGTAAAGTTGGCTATAAAATAACACAAGAAATTAAGACACTTTTGCAGTTCAATTGAATCTTTCTACACAAACTTGTAAGTATAGCTACATTGATGTATTTCAGAGGGCCTTTTGCAAAGCGGAAATTTGCAAACGTCATGATTATTGCTATCTAGACTCATCACAATSGTAATAAAGTAGAAGAATCAAAGACGATAAGACATTGCCAACGTTTTGAAGTTTAGCATGTTATCATCGATCTTATCAATAAATATATACTCATGTGAATGATAAAATAAGGTTTACAATCAATAGTCCCAAATGTGTTCGGATGTAAAATCATGTAAAATTTACAATTCGTAGAAGATTTAATTGTCTATATTTCACAGTTGAACATGTTGTAAAACTGATAAAAATAGAAGATGGTACGTCATTCAAGTGATCAGTTAAACTTTTGAAGCATCAGCTAGAGTTTGAGGATGTTTTCGTTGTACTTT